TACATTGTATTTTGATTTCTATCAGACATGTTGAAGACTCATATAAATAATAATTGTCTCTCTTTTATAGTAGTTTTAAACTTTTAGATAAAGCGATTCAACAAAATAAAAATAAATATACCGTGTTATCAATGTAGGTTGTCCAGAAACGGTCTATGGCGCGATCATTAGGATTGGACGGGAGATGGGAAGGGCCATGAGCCCAAGATTAATCAATGTATTGCACAATGACAAGTGACTCACAATAGTCTTAGCCCTTGTTTAATCCCAATGACAAGTGACTAGCAAGTAGTCTTAGCCCTTGTTTGATTGATCCTCATTTTAAAAAAAATATTTTTCCTCGAACTCATTTTTAATTACACATTTTCAAATAAAATAATTTTACACGTAAAACTAAAAACCCCACATTTTTATAAAAATCACTATTACAAAACCTATTCTCAATGAAACTAAAAAAGGGGGGCTCTATTGTCATGGATCAAAACTGGGATTTTCTTGTGGACCGGGTTTGATTTAAGGAGCAGTTGGCTTTCGTTAAAGACATCCTCTTTGATGAGCTTATAGTCAATGAATTTAAGAATAAGGGCAATTGGAGCTCGATCTGTATACCGGCTTTCCCATGCTCCCAGAAGCTTTACATCACTTGCTGCCATTGCCAATTGTTATAAACTGGATTCTTTAATGTGCCTCAGATTCAAGACTTGAAGCTGGATTTATGTAGACTACTTTTATGCAACAAAAAATTGAACGTTTCATTGTACGAAAAATGTGATTCGCTGAATAAATATGGCAACATGTGAACTTCAAGATCCAAGACCTGAGGCTTTCATTATAAAATAGCAGGATCCGTCTTCAGTATTGCAAGTGGAGAATAAAGAAATTCTAGCCAGACATCATGAATCTATCATGGTTTATAGTCAGCTTATTATCAGCCATGATTGCAGCGGTGTCAATCCGATTGAGCAAGTTTGAGAGAAGTGCCTGGGCCTCGTTCCACCACATTTCTCTATGGACTGTCTAGGCCTTAAGGATCCCGAGTTGGGACTGGCAGAGACAGGACTGCGGCCGAATGTGTTATGGTTTTAAATTTTACAAGAGCTAATTGCTCTTAACAACACAATAATGGAGACCCTAATGTGTCGACTTTCTTTCCTAGTACAGAACAGATTCATTCACAAACTGTTTAAAATTTTCTATTACCCATTCTTCTGGCTTCTGAGGTACGAAAGATGGATAGGAGGAACCACCTTTCTATAATTTTGCAGATGCTCTTTTTCGACTATCTAAACCGAATTTTGTCGCTTAAATTTAACATAAGTACTCATCTTTATTCTTTTTTTTTTTTTGAAGATAACCATATATTCCATGGAGCAAATAACTGGATACAAGGAGAGAATCCTCCTACACTATGCTCTCCTAAGAGAGATTCAGTGCAACCATTGCAACAGAACATACCACACACCAAACAAGACAAAAAAACAAAGAAAAAAAACGAGGCAGGAAGCTGGCCGACGAGGAAGGAGCCTGATTGGGAGTGAACCACGAACCAAAGCAGTGAGAGCAACACCAACACCCACAAGCCGAACACCAGAACCACACAACCGCAGGGGCTTGAAAAATTATAGCGATGGACTGAATCTGAGCAAGGTCAGAAACTCGCCGGAAAAGGAGAAACTGCTCACCCTAACCCAAATCAAGCCACAGCAGTAGAAGACCATCTGAAACCCAAGTCCAAACCCAAGCCAACAACTGAAAACATTCCGGCCTCACCCAACTCCAGTCCACAACCACACACCCACAGCAAACCAACACCCACCAAACCAAGACCACCAAACCACGACCTCAACCGGCAAGAAGCCGGAGAGGGAAAACCTCCACCGACAGAAGCCGGAGAGGGACCACCTCCACCGCCTGAAGACGGGGAAAAAAACTAGGACTCCAAAGGAGCCTAGAAAGAACCTTACCTTTGAAACCAAAGGAAGGACGAACAAAAACCAACACAAAAAAGGGAAACAACGGCCGGACGAGCGGCACGAGGCCACTCTCCGGAGGGAGACCAGCAAAACGAGCACCAAGGGTTTTTTTTAGGGAGAGAGATTTTTTCTTTAGTGACGATTTTAGAGAGGAAATAGGAGGAAATAACCTTACCATTGTTGTCTAATTCCAAAATGACCTTTGACTAAAAAATAGAATTAAAAAAAAAAAAAAAGG